CAAGATGCCTGTCACCATGTCAAGGAGCTGTGCATATGTATGCTCTAATGTGGTTTAACATAAGTTGACTTAGTTAAGTTGCCTTCTTTTAAGTCGACTTAGTACATGTGTACACACCCATTGTTTCTAGAGTACATGGGAAGAGACCACCCTTGCCTCAAAGAGCTTGTAATCTAATTAGAAAGGATGGAGGAGGGGAAGTGCTGCTATTCCCTATTTGCAGGTTGAGAACTGGGTCCCAAAGAGATGAAGTGACTTGCCAAAGGCCATACACAAAGAGTCTGTGGCAGAGCCTGGAATTCAGTCAGGATCCCCTAGTACCTGCCCAGTGCCTGAGAACTGGGGCTTGGAGGAACTGTGAGAGAATTACTGGTTTCCTATTTTCCTTGCCTCAGATATACTGCCTCTCTCTCTGCATGAGAAATCTCGTGTTCCCAAGCAAGTCTGGCAGGCACTTGGTATGTAATAATAATCATTAGTAATGCTTAGATGGAAGATGAATCAATGCCTTTTCCCATCTCCTGCTTTGAGCTTAAGTTCATGGTATTGCAGCTGAGAAATAATCACAGAAGAAGCAGCTCAGTGTTCTTCCTACTAGATATTTTTCAAACTGTTAGAGCAAACCAAGTGGTTCTGCTTCACAGAGCATGGTGAAAAAATAAGCAGTGGAGGGATTCATGCAAGTATCTGTTTATCCTGCATGTGTCATCTTCTATACATTGCAGCATAATGACCTAAGCTATCTATATAACCTAAGCATTCCCAAAGTTTGAGGGGTTAGACATGTTCTTCCCAGACTGTTAAGCATTGAACATTATCCCATGAATCACTCAAGAGTTCATTTTCTTTAGGTCAGTAGTAAAGCTTGGATTTGAACCATAGGAACTTGCTCACCCTTGCCATCAATTATTTTTTTGGAAGGGATAATTTTAGAACATTCTATCCTGTGGGTTGAAGAGGACAAAGAGGCCAAAGCTAAGAGAGACTGAGAGGAACTGTTTAGAGTGCAAAATGGGATTAGTGAGTTCCTTCTCAGCACTTGATGAACTAAGCTGCTGCTTATGAGAGGTTATGCATCTCTGAATGAGTTAGTCTATAAAGTGCAAATCTCCCCTGCCTCCTGCTGACTAATATGGCTAACTACCTCTCTCTGTTTATAACACAGTCATTTGCATCATAGATCCAGCTGAAATCATAGCTCCATTGTGCTATGTATTGTCCATGTGATATAAGGGCCTGGGTATTTGGCACATATGCACATTGGATCCAGGATGGACAGACCGTGAGTTTATCTGGGGTAGTTCTGATCCATCCTACAGACCAGCCCCATACCTCTCATCCAGCCCACAGGGTCAGACGAGTTCAACACCCCTGACCTAGATATTAAGTTTATCAGGGCAGGGACTCCCACTATATTCCTGTGCTGTGCCTGGCACAACTGGGGATCATATCTATTGAAACCAGTAGGCGCTACTTTAGTAAAAATAATTACATTGCAGAAATTACACCAGCTGAGTGGGGGGCCACTCATTTTCAAGGGATTTCCCCTAATCCTTCAGAGGATAGTCTCAAATCTACCAGGTGACCAGGCTGATCACTATAAGTTGGGCTGTGCATTGTCACAGGCCAAGTAACAAGGTGGGCAGGGAAAAGGTGAAAAGCGAAAGGATGTCCTGATGTATCTTCTCTGCCCAAGGGAGAAAGGATACCCTGATGTGTCTCCCTTGGATTGAGTGGGAATGCAGGGCCCCTGCCACAGGCAACTGGGCCTCCTTCTGCAGCACTAGACCAGCGTTCTTTACTTTTTTTTAATGCAAAAAAGAGCTCTCTTGATGATGTAACAATAGCAAACCACACATCAAGGGTGATTGGAGGTACTTCAGCGTGGGAACAGGCTGAGCTCTGAGGGTCTGTGGGTAACCACGTGTTATTGGATCAGAGATGAGTTGTTCTTCTTCCCCACAAAAGCATCTGGCTGATTGCTGGCAACCCTACTAGACCAAAACGGGTTGGGTGGAGGATATGAAGCACTGATGATGCTTTCTAATGACTGGGTCTACTAAGACCTGCTACTGCTCCCAGCTAAGGGAGGTCCCCACTAGCTTGAGAGGTAGGAACATCCAGGATATCTCTCAGGATGATCTTTTCTGCCCCTGCAGTGCGAACCCAGGTCTTTCCTCTCCTGGGTTCTTGATCTTCCTCTCAACCAAAGCAGTCTAGTTCCATGGTGTTCCCCTGCCCCACCTCTCCAATGGATGGTGCCTACTCAGTTTTTAAACAAGCTTGGTGGGTTTTACTTCCTGCTGTCAGCCAGCTCTGAGAGTGACATTGCCTTCTTGCTGTGCCTTCTGCTGCTGGACATCGCTGCCTTCTGCCCATCCCGCCCTAGCAGACACAAAGCCTCTTTTGATCCTAAAGGAATGGGGGTCAGAAAAGGGTGTAGACCCCTCCTGGCCCTTTCTGGCAATGGGATCCAAATTCCCTAGGAATTTGCTTTGAAACTGGCTACTAGAATTCGGTGTGTTTTATCCAATGACTATGTACCCAGTGCCCTGTCTTGGAGCTGAAGTACTAGATTGTTAGCCTCAGCCTTAGGCATTTTATTTAGTAATGGTAGCTACCTACGGCACATACATGCAGTATGTAGTCTGGACCCTGAGCCACTCTGAGCTCCATTTCCCTGTGTAATTGGATGTGTAAATACTGGAGCTACCCCTGGGCAGAAGGTGGAGCTGTGCTCCCTGGGAGGCAACTGACTGCTTGTGCAGGAGAGGTAGGTCCCAAGAGCCCTTCTGGCTTCAGGTGTCTGGTCCAGCTTGAATCAAGCTGGTTAATGGAAGAGCTGGGCCCCATCTACCTGCTCCCCCTGATCTTATCTCGCTGACGCAGTCTGTCCTGGGACAGGAATATCTCCCTGATTGGCAGCCGCAATCTCTCCCCAGCTTCACGTGGAAGAGATCAAAGAGCAGCCCATGTTGACATATCATCATTATGGAGAACCTGAGCCCCTTGCAGTGAGCTGGGCTCATTGTCCAAGGAGTAACCTTAGCCAGTGGAGGAGACAGCTGGAGAGAAAAGGGACCCAGGAAGGAGATGGCAAGA